TTACTCTTCTTTACTCAGTAATAACAGTAGTAAATTTTATTTATATTTTCCTGCTGACCATAAGCAGTTGGCATAGACTATGAAACCTTTGGGACATTAGAAGAATTTGTTACAATTTCCTGTAATAGAACAATGAGCCAAGATTCAAATATTTACTGACCATGAAAATGCCCTGTCTATTCTGAGTGTGTTCAAAAGAGTCTCAGTTCCTTCAAAAAATAATTACCGTAATGTTAAACAATTAGCGTTTCCTGGTTTCGGAAATTACTGCCACTTTTAATGCAAGACCCCTATATCAGAGCACTGGATAAAACAGACTTTGTTGATGACGATTTAAAAATATTTTGACTAGCTCTGGGTTGAGGCATTTCATGGTCATTAGCGTATCTCAAAGATGTAAAATATTTTGCAGCCTCCCTCTCCCGTGTTGTCCTTTGGGATGGGCGTGCAAATTGGCTGGAACTTAAACAGGACATTCCCAATCTGTTTCTGATTTCAGATCTTATTGAACTGACCTGATTGCACCAACGCTAAACTGCATTTCGGAGGTTTCCCTTAAAACTGGGGCCAGTGCCAATTTGTAGTTTGATTTTCTCCAGAAAAAGTAATCGACCCAGTATATTACCAATTAATCAAGTTAATATACATTTGTTGGCGTATAAGTTTTTTTAAAGAATGTTTTTCATCATTATCATCATCATCATCAAACTGTATTGGATACTCCACTTGGATATTCCACAGTAACAAAAACTACACACCCAAACTTAGTGGTAATACTGGCAATGATAGTAGTCATAGTTGTTGTAGTAGTTCCTTAAATATACAGTATTTTTATTATTTACACAGAAAATCTCTAAACATTTAATCTAGTGACCATAGACTGTATGGACATAGTTAACCCTCTAGCCACTGCGTTTCGAATAGAAAGTGAGCATGGAGGTGCTTCCAGCTCCATCAACTCTGGCTCCAGTTGACTTTACATTGAAAAAGATTGTCACCTGTATTAACCCGGTCTATATGATCCTGGTGTTTTTATTGTGGTATTTTGTCTGTAAATAAATTCCTATTACTAATATGAAACTCTGCTCCAAATTTGTTCCTATAACTAGATCATGAGCTTCATTTGGAGCTGAATGCTATGGGTGACGTGACACTCCCATAGTCCATTTCTTTTTACAGTCTGTGGTAATGATCCATATACTTGTTGTTTACCTTCCCCATTCAACATGGGCCTATCAGATGTAGATCAACAACAGAAATAAAAGCAGCATTAGCAGCAAGTAGTTATTGTTGAAATCTCTGACTACTTAAAGCAGACCTTTTATGCTGAATTGACTTTTTGGAGCTTTTAACCATGTTATACCATGTTAAAAACAGCAGGAGTAGTTCGGAGTTTTATCTATGACGCAACTATATGGGCAAAAGGCAAACAGTATTTTTGAGTGCTGAGAGAAGACAAGTTTAGATTTATGAGTAAATGAAACAAGTGTGAATGAAACAAAACATGACTCCAGGTATGTTTGTGATGAGAAAACAACATTACAACAGATCAGAAAGACAGTGTAACATAGGCACTTTAAGTACCCACTTATATTTTCTCAAGTATCTAGTACAGTTTAGCTGTTGAGTACTATTACAATAACAGATTATTTACATGAGAAAAATATGATCTACTTCTTCCACTTCTCATCCCATAGCATAAGAAAGCGATCGTCCAATTGCTCCACAAATCATAGTTAGGGCCATAAAATACTGTTGAAGTCATTGGAATTACTTCAAATGGCCCACTTCACTCGGTTGAGTACTATACCATGCACACACCTGCGTTCTGTTAGCACAATATGTAACGTTCGTATGAAGAACAAGCGTGATCGGACTGAGCTGTTAGAAAGATTACCCCCCTGAGGCAATGGCACATCCGTCACCGTGGCTCCGTCATGGCAACGCACGTGGAAATAAATCACATACAAGACAGTTTTTCCTATAGAGAAGGTGAGGGCCTGGGCTGCAGCTGGAGACGTTTGTGTAAATGTGTGGAACAGAGCAATGACATAGGAGGTTAAATCATACAGTAATGTTTTTTGGCATGTTTTCTGTTCTCTTATTGCGTCCATTTAGGCTATTTTCTGACCCGTTATAATGTCGTCTCCTCATCACAAACATACCACAAACCATGCAAATTTAGGCTGTGTTCTTCTCTTAAACAGAAAACACTCCAACTTGTTCCAACTTGTGATGTCATGTAGTAATACAAGAAGTGCCCCACTGTGTTTTTAAACTTCACACACCTTCACTAGAATAATTTGGATAATTTCAGCCCATGCCACATGCTACTAAACTAAAGATAAAAACTAAAGATAAAACTAGCTGTTAACTTGTAAATTACCACAGCATGACATCACAAGGGTTAAAAGGGCATTTTGCACATTAGAGATTTAGATATCCTAAAAATAAAGGGATACTCAAACATGTGGATGAAACAAAATCTTTAATTTATGGTAGCATATACCGAGGGGTGTGCTAAAATCTGGAAAAATTGACATATTACAATACAAAATTTGTTGATAGTGCTGTTATTGTGGGCTGTTGTATCGATATATCGCCATTAGGGGTGTGCAAAAATATCAAAATATTGATATATGGTATCGTTTAATGTGATGATACAGTATTGATACTGTCGGCTGCTGCTGTATCGATATATCGCCAAGAGTATTTTTTGGTGCATTTTACTCAATTGTTTTGTTACAGTTCTACAGTTTTGTTGTTTGTTCAGAGGAAGGAAACTCATTTATGCGACGCATTTGACACATTAGATTTTTGTTTTGATGAGTAAAATGTTTGTGTTTCATTTTCACTTTGCACAAGTAGTAGTTTAACAAAGACTTTTAGTATCACACAGCCATCATTTAGCCATTATTTTTTATTGAACCGTATCAAATCGATTTGAAATGTATCGAATTGAAAGTACACTGTATTGAGATATGTATCGTATCATGGTCTATTTATCGAGGTATGCATCGTATCGGCAACTTTTTAATGATACCCAGCCCTAATCGCCATTTGTATTTTTGGTATATTCTACAAAATTAACTTGTGACAGTGCTACGATTTTGTAGCTTGTTAAGATACATTTGATGTTCATAGTTTTGATGATAAAAATGTGTATATTTCATATTATCTGTGTCCAGGTAGTGGTTTAACAAAGATTAATTTAGTTCTTTAAAAATAGTGACAAATTGCAGAATATCATGTTCAGTATATTAATTACCTCATGTATCTCCAGGTTGTGATAATCAGATTGTATGTTGAGCGCTGTATTGTGTATCATATCAAAACGTGAGGGGACCCTGTGATTCCCAGCCCTAATTATTTGAGCAACATAATCTCACAATATTTCAGAAATACAGACAAAATAAACAAAACAAAATGTCAAATAAAAAACTTTTAAGTAATTGGAAATACTGAATACAGACAGCTGCTTTTTGAATAGAAAACATCATGGTCTCATTTTGTCTTATGTAAATGACATTGGCATTTTGACATTAAAATTGCTCTGTTATTCCATGAAAATATAAATTAGAGATGCATGATCCAGTTTTTCCAAGTTTGAGCTGATCCTGATTTAAACCGATACCAGAAACAGATTTTTTTTTTTTTTAAACATCAAATAAGTAAAATACATGACTAAATATGCTGTGTTATTGTGTGAAATTAAACTATAGAACAGCAATGTTTGTATGAAGACAAGTTCAAACATTCAGGTTCTGGGAGTTATTAGATTAACTTGTGCATACCAATGTAATACTTAATTTTTTTATGGCCTAGTTTGAAATGCTTATCTGACAGGCCTGTAGAACTGTGATTAGATTTGCAATATTTAAAAAGGAACTACAGTTTACATCTGAAAGAAGTAGGTCACGATAAGGCATTTTGAAGTTGCTGAGGAAGATATAGATACATAAATATACATGATAATACTGAAAATAATCTCACTGACACAATAAACAAAATGCAGGATTCTGAAAAAAAAAAAAAATAATAAATTATTTAGGTAAAAAAAAAAAATCAATCCTCTTCGGCTGAAATTTAATCGCAGAACAGAAAAAGAACAAAAGCTTCCCACTAATACAAAGAAAAAGTACCCAGGATAAATATTGACCTCAAAGAATTGTTCCATCTTTCATATATTGAACGAAAAGTCGATACAGTATTTATCATGACAGGCCTAGAAAGAAGACTGAAATATGAAATGATGGACTAATAAAAGAATCCCGTGCGTTTGTAGAGATCTAAAACAACTACAGCCACAGCAAAATCTTTTTATAATAAGACAAGATATTCAGTTCTTTGCAGAGGACATTCTACATTATCTAAATCAGTCATTCTCCACCTCGGGAGTGGGACCCCAGGGGTTCATAAAAAAGAGGGTCAAACTAGATTGTGTGAATTTTAATGACAGTATGGCATCTTAATTCCTTCTCTAAAGTGTTTTATAATCATTACTGTTCTATAACATCTTTATTAACCAGAAAATAATTAGAATTTTCCACTACAGTACAGTAGCTTTTGCTTTTCTCCATGGAGATGTTCTTGCTTCATCTTGAATGTTTCACAGCATGGCATTAAACCTTTCTATCTTCATGGAGACCAAACCAGACCAAGTTACAGGTCAGATCTGTGGAGAGGCAACCTCGCTCACAGTCAGAATACCGGATTTTCTAGGTGTTTTTGAGCAATAAAACCATCTGCAATTCATCTGCAAAGAAAGCTGTTTAATGTCATGCTGTGGAACATTGCAGGCAGAGTTACATAGTGCACCTTTAAGTAGAACGATAGGTAGAACGATAACCAACAATAATCAACAGGTAAAATACGGATCACTGTAAGAAAAAGGTTGGGAACCACTGATCTAAATGCCATTTGTGTTTTGATTTGTGACCTTTCAATTTGATTTTTATTCATTGTGCAGCTCTGTTAACAGTATATTTTCTTTTTTCCAGTTATGCTACAGCCCTTTGACTATGACCCCAACGAGAAGAGCAAACACAAGTTCATGGTGCAGTCCATGCTAGCACCTCCGGACATGACTGACATGGAGGGAGTGGTAAGTACTCTAGTCCCTCAAAACCTCATTAAAACATAAGGAGCACAGAATTACACAAAATTGACTCATGAGCTTCTGGCCATGTTGTAATGTCGTTACCTCATCCAAAACATACCTCGAGTTGTTTTTTGTTTCATTCACACATTTGAGAGATCAAGCATTATTAGTCTGTCTATGTCCCCAAAGCTCAAGATGCTCTTTTCCTCCTTGTGATGTTATGACGTGGTAGTTTTCAAATGATCTACTTTTACCTTCAGTTCAGTAGAGATTGACCCCGTTTACATGATGTTTTTTGATTCCGAATTAATTGTTCTGAATTAAATAATCCGGAAAACAATCGGGGGGTCAGGAAGGGTTCTGATTGGACAGGGACACAAATATATTTACGTCTACCGGAAGAAAACACACAGTCAGCTGCTTCTGGCTTTTTTGTCATCTTAGCTTATCGTTATGTCATGGACACATACATGACACAAACGTCAGCTGAGGAGGAGAAGGGAAGAGGAAGACAAACTGAGTCAACACCTGCTCTACCTCAGCCAACTCCCGCATCCCGCTCGCAAATCCAAAGAGCAGAGAGTCCGAAGCCAGGACTGGTGGAGCCGGATCGTCCGGATCGCGTCAGAAAGGCGACCCAACGAGCATGCATTGAACGATCGGAATTATTTTTAAGAAGAATAAATGTTTACATGATCAAGGAATAAATTCATTCAGCTTTAAATTTGGAATAAACCACCCACTTAGTTCAGAAATTTAAGTTTAATACCGAATCATCATTTTCATTAGGAATTAAGTATGTACATGGTCTTTGTAAAGTGATTCTAGTGAAGGTGAATGGAGTTTAAAAACACAGTGGAGCACTTCCTGTACTCCCACATGGCATCACAAGGTGGACTGTTTTCCGTTTGAGAGAAGAAGTCAGCCTAAATATGAAGGCTTTGTCTGTTAAACATCTGTGAAAGAAACAAAACACAACTCGGGTATGTTTTTGATCAGGAAACAACTTTATAACATAGATCAGAAGTAGCGTAAAATGGGTCCTTTAAGTCCCGCTAGCATGTGTGGTTTTGGCTACCGACACAAATGATGATGATTCATGGACAGGCCAACCAAAGCAGAGACCTAATCTGAACCTTGGCGGTAGCGTGTGCAGCCCGCAATTCTATCAGAAGGAGATTTGAGGTTGGGGAAGTGTGTGGCGAGAGGGAGAGAGAGGTGTAAATATTTCTTCTCTGTGGCCACGGTACATTTGGAGCTAGCAAACAAAGATCGAATCTGATAAGGACCATTAAAAAACATCCAAAAGCCCTACTTACCCGATATGTAAACATTTAAGGGCCTGTACTCGATTTTCTTCTGTGTATTTGAGCAAAATTTGTCTCGCTCCAAACAGTACATATAATATTGTATAAGTAGCTCTGGAGGTCAAAATAACTTTCCTGTGGACTGTTTACATCTAATAAGAAACTGTTTTATTGTCAGAGAATTAGGAAGGACAGGACTACATTCATACCATACTTCATACAGCTGTACTACATCTAACCCTTGTGTAATAGATAATACTCCCTACAGCTGTACTACAACTCACCCTTGTGTAACTTGGTATCATTAAGAAGTTGCCGATACGATACATACCTCGATACATTGGCCACGATACAATACATATGTCGTTACAGTGCACTTTCGATTCGATAAATTTCAAATTAGTATGATATACTTCGATAAAAAATAAAGGTTAAATCATAGCTGTGTTACGAAAAGTCTTTGTGTTAAACCACATTTTCTTGATTGTGATAAAGTTCATAATTGAAACACAAACATTTTAATCATACATAAACAGTGAATAACGTCTAAATGTGCACGATATTAACTTTGCACAGACTTAAGTGGACTTTGTTTTTCACTGAACCCTATCGAATCAAATTGAAATATATTGTACTGAATCATAATGAATCAGAAGTGCACTGTATCGAAAAACGTATCGTACCGAACCTTGTGTTATGCAGTTTTTACATGGTGTTCAACTAGCATGCTAACATCGCACCAGCACTTCCTGTTTAACTAGGATTCAAAACGCTATAATTAGATGTAGACAGTAAACGCTGGTTTCAATTGGACCCTACTAGCTGCTTTTACAATAAAGGTCTGGGTTCAATTCTGAGAGAGAGAAAAAAAACAATTCTAAACAGAATTTGGAGGGAAATAAAAGTGGAATATTTGTTTTCTTTTTTAAAGTGGATACGGACTTAAATTTAGTTTAGTTTCTCAAAACTTTACCCTTCTGTTCATCTCATCATCTTGAGAACATTCCCATAGTGTTTACTTACTTATATTACACAGCATGACTTCGCATCCAATAAAAACGCTCATTATTACAGTGTACCACATAGACTTTACATTTTACCTCAATAATACTTCTTCTTCTGTTGTGTTCTGCAGTGGAAGGAGGCCAAACCAGAGGAGCTGATGGACTCCAAACTGCGGTGTGTTTTTGAACTGCCGGCGGAGAACGAGAAAACGGTGAGACCTCCCAATCCTTCACCCCGATGTTACACAGCGGGGCCGGATACTGTTCCACTTCTCCTCCACTCGCCACTGCGCGCTAATTGGAAACAAACCGTGAAGTAGTGCGTCATGCTGATTGGTTGATTCGATTGTTCGCGTTATGTCGTTTTTTTTTTTTTTCATCCGGGAGATGATTAGGATCTAAACACATACGGACAGGCCAGAGTGCCCGGATATCTTATTATTATTATTATTATTATTATTATTATTCTAATAGGCCCTTCGCCAGCCTCTGGCGCTCGGGCCTGTTAGTATCACAAAGCGATGCACCTAGTGGCCACAAAATGCAATGGCGCGACGTGACTCGCCCGCAGTGACCAGGGACCCTCGCCATGACGTAGAATAATGAGGTGATTCCATAACTGTTACCATAGCAACCATAATGTAAACAAGAACCAAACGGGTCCTGACTCGAACTAGGAAGTACGAGCACATAAGTCCTGGTCTCAGGTCTCTGCTCTGGCTCCTGTGGCTCAGAGACTTTAAAGCAGCTCTGTTTGTACAAGTGTCTCCATGACCGAGCACCAAAGTCCATCTGTGACATGTTAGTGTCATATGAACATCTCACACTCTGAGGAGCTCAGGGACGACCTCCTGCTGGTGCCCAGAGTCACGACTAAACAAGGGGAGTCAGAGTTTCAGGTTCATGCAGCTAAAACCTGGAACAGTCTGAACATGTGAGACAGACTCTTCTGTGACGCTGTTTAAATCCAGACTCAAAACATTTCTGTTTAACTGTGCAAATAACTGAAAGGTTTTCATTCCGCACTCTTCTCTCCAATTTATGTCTCTCTTTTCAATTTTAATCTTCATGATTATTTATGTTTTGATTTGTTTTTATTATGATTTTAATGTATTTCTTATTCTGTAAAGCACTTTGAATTACTTTGTGTACGAATTGTGCTGTACAAATAAACTTGCCTTGCCTAAATGTCACAATAAATCTGATTAAACTCACACACAAATAAATAACAACAGCTTTATTTAGTTAAATGAAGGTTTAAAGTGTCAGAAAACCGTCTCTTTTCTTCACAAACTGAACTGATGTAAAACTGTGAGAAATATCGAGCGCAGGTTCTGTCCACCAAACCAAGAACTAGAAAAGCACCTGGACTTTAAAGTGGACGGACGACACGACAAACGACGCAGCACGGACAGAGACTTTACGAGACGCCTGACGAAGACGAATTCTCTCTTAGAGAATCTGATGATATATAAATGTATTTCTTTGGTTAAAGTCTCATTAAAGTGTTACTCATTTATATATGTCATTGTTACATTAAAGTTTGAATCATTTAAAGGGTGAATCATTTAAATATTAATCATGATATAATCAACTTTGCTTTGGCGTTTTGTTTTCGAGACACTGAACGTAAAAACAAGCAGCTGATATGAACGACATGTCAACTGACATATTAAACTAATCTACCATGGTCACAAACAACGGGTTTGTCCCATCATCTGCTGAACTGAAAGCCTCGGGAAACTCCCACGTAAGAGACGCTCACTGACATATGTCATCAAGTGTGAAATGGGAGGGTGGTTCAGTTGAAGATTGTTAGTCATGAGAAAACATGTGAACCATATGTATTGTGATGTCATGAAATATGCTCATCTGTGAAGTGATTTTCAATAAAAGAGTGACTCGGAGGGTTGTGGGGCAGAGTAGAGCAGGAAGCAGACAGACAGCCCAGCAACTCTCCTCACACAAGTATAAACTGCTCTTTGTCGTTCTGAGTGTTTTTTTCTAACACAATTGTCTTGTGAGCAGAATTTCCTTGACTCTCTCTTCATCACTGAGACAAACAGGACGAGGGTCGGACGCTGAAGACCAACAGAGTCTGAAAAACCCACACACCACAGGACTTAGGCCCAGATTCTCTCAGAGTTTCCAGACGAGGAGAGGTCCGACTTTGTGTGAGATTTAGTTCTATTTTTTTTCAATAACTAGATTTAGAAATGATGAAATGTTGATATATTTTAAAATATTTTGAATAGTTGATTTATTTTGTAGTGACAAATATAAAACATGTAATAGCGGCGCGTCTGAATAGAGACGGCGCTTTTTGTCACAAAGATATTTTACAGAACATTATTCAGCATTATTCATTCACTCTGCACCTGCTGATGTAAACTACTGTTGTAGCCACAGCTGCCCTGGGGCAGACTGACAGAAGCACGGCTGCCGTGTCAATCGGCCTGGTTTAAACCAGGTTTAAACCAGGTCTGAAAACCCGATCTAAACCTGATCTCACCCTGGTCTAACCCAGGTCTGAGCTGGGGTTTCATCTAGTTTGTCCCGTCTTCTTCCTCCTCCTTCGTCTCCTCTTCCTCTCCTCTCGCGCTCTCGTCTTCGTCTTCTTCGTCGTCGTCGTGGAGGTCGTATTTGTCCTTCAGTCGTGTGTGAGAAGTTGGTTTCTCCTCTGCTCCTCTGCTTCTCCAGGTTTCTCCAGCAACTCCTGCTGCAAGCAGATCCTGTCGGTCTGTTCTTCGAAGTGTAAGTGGATGATGCGTGAAAACCTTCGGATCACCTCCTGTAGCTTCTGGTTCTTAACCGAGGACTTTTCGATCCTTTCGCACAGATCTTTGTTCTGATTGTTTAAGTTTTGGATCGTCTCGTTTTGTTCCTGGTTCTGATTGTTTAAGTTGTGGATCGTCTCGTTTTGTTGCTGGCTCAGTTTTGTTAAGTTTTGGATCGTCTCGTTTTCTTGCTGGTTCTGATTTTCAAAGTTGTGGATCGTCTCGTTTTGTTCCTGGTTCTGATTGTTTAAGTTTTGGATCGTCTCGTTTTGTTTCTGGTTCTGATTTATTAAGTTTTGGATCGTATTGTTTTGTTCCTGGTTCTGATTTACTAACATTTCGATCGTCTCGTCTTGTTCCTGGTTCTGATTGTTTAAGTTTTGGATCGTCTCGTGCAGTTTGTTGTTATGATTTAATGAGTTGTGGATCGTCTCGTTTTGTTGCTGGTTCTTATTTTTTAAGTTTTGGATCGTCTCATTTTTTGTTGCTGGCTCAGTTTTATTAAGTTTTGGATCTTCTCATTTTGTTGCTGGTTCTGATTGTTTAAGTTTTGAATCGTCTCGTTTTGTTGCTGGTTCTGATTTTCTAAGTTTCGGTTCCTCTCGTTTTGTTGCTGGTTCTGAGTTTCTAAGTTTCGGTTCCTCTCGTGCAGTTCCTGGTTCTGATTTTCTAAGTTTCGGATCCTCTCGTTTTGTTGCTGGTTCTGATTTTTTAAGTTTCTGTTCCTCTCGTTTTGTTGCTGGTTCTTATTTTTTAAGTTTTGGATTGTCTCGTTTTCTTGTTGGTTCAGATTTAGTAAGTTGTAGATCGTCTCGTTTTGTTGCTGGTTCTTATTTTCTAAGTTTTGGATCCTCTCGTCTTGTTGCTGGTTCTGATTTTCTAAGTTTTGGATCCTCTCGCCTTGTTGCTGGTTCTGATTTTCTAAGTTTCTGTTCCTCTCGTTTTGTTGCTGGTTCTGATTTTCTAAGTTTTGGATCGTCTCGTTTTGTTGCTGGTTCTTATTTTCTAAGTTTTGGATCCTCTCGCCTTGTTGCTGGTTCTGATTTTCTAAGTTTCTGTTCCTCTCGTTTTGTTGCTGGTTCTGATTTTCTAAGTTTTGGATCGTCTCGTTTTGTTGTTGGTTCAGATTGATTAAGTTTTGGATCGTCCTTTTTATGAATTCACCAACATATGGGTCGTATATTACGAGACCTGGACACTGGAGATAGTAGAGGTGAGGATGAGGAGAGAGAAGGGGAAAGATGAGAGGATGAGGAAAGAAAAATTGACGATGAGATGATGAGAAGCTGAGAGGGTGCTGGAGAGGAATATTTGGAGTGAAAGATGAAGGAAGGCTAGCCTGAAACCGTGGAAACCGTCTGACCTCGCAGCATTAGGACTTGTTCGTTTTTATTTAATCAAACGCTGCTATTTGGTTGTGACATATGTAATGTGCCAAAAGGAAGAAGGGCAATAATGTCTTTCCTCTTGATAAAATTCACCAAACATTCTCTTTGATCCGGCTTTAAATCCTCGATCTTGGGAATCGTTGCCAACACAGAATGTATGGCTTCGTCTACATCCATCTCGACCGCTTTGTTTACTGTTGCGCTGTACCAAAAAAGGGGCACAGACAGGCGCTTGAGTTTGACGTCATGGCTTCATAGCTCTACGCTGATTGGCCGGTGCGCGGTCTAAAACTTGCAGGGTTTTTGCAAACCGTCTTGTGTATTCCGATTCCTGACCTAGTCACTGGAGAGAAATTAAATTGAGCGGAGGCACTAGGTGGTGCCAGCCTGTCTAGAAGAAGGCTGAGGAGCAGGTAATCTCTGGAGAAGCAATGAGGTACACGGTGTGTTGAAGTTTGAAAACAGCAGTAGAGCACTATAATACCATAGAGAGTCCATAACCAAGCTCATTTCTCATTTGCCTTTTATGCTCCATGGCCTATTTGGTGTGAATCAGCCATTAGACCACTGTTAGTCATTCCCACTATGTATTCACCAATCCAGCATACCAGCCAGGATTTTGGTTAGGAAAACCTCGGAAACTTTTACATACTTTTTTAATAACAAATGTATAAAACCTATCCTTGTATAAACTCTTTACTGCAGCATGACCTGGACAACAAGATCTCGGCCAGTTTGCTGAAGTCCGAGTCCTCCGCGCTGCCTCAGAAGCTCATGAGCTCCACCCTGGACGACGGGGAGGTGAAGAAGATCATGGAGGAGTGCAAGAGGCTGCAGATGGAGGCACAGCGACTACGAGAAGAAAACAAACAGATCCGGGTGAGAACAACTTTGAACTGTTACTTTGTTAGTGTAGTGTGTGCGTGAGTAGGCAGTTGCAACAGTGTGAGGACTAAAATAATAATTACTATATTGGCTTATCTTTCGTGGATACTTTTTCTTTGAACTACTGGGACACTGTTTATCATTTTTTGGCTATATAAGATTTGAGCCGTAGAAAGTTAAATTAATAACTTCTAAGACTCATTACAGATGCAAACTAAGTACCACTGTTTCATTCAGCTGTTTATTCATTTCAACTCATTAATTTTTAACAATATTGCACATTTAGAAGAGTTTTTGCAGTTTAAATCGGCTCTTGCGTTATTTTTTCAGTGGCATAAATTCTGTTCAGTATTATTGTTTATTGTCTATATTTACTTTAGGATTAAACCTTCCTCCATATTTGTTATCGTGACAGGTCTACCCAACTCTGAAAGCACATTGTTCTTGCTTTCAGCACCTCTCCTCTCTCCTCTTTCCTCTCTTCTTTTTCCTGTCCTCTGTCTTCTCCCCTCTTCTATCATGTGTGCATTGTGGCCCGAGGCTCTGACACGGGGCTGCTCCTGTGGCTAAGATTAAACTAACAGGGGTCCCTCCCGCTGATGGGAAATGATGTGTGTTCCAGGCTGGCGCCTTTCACACTCCTCGGGGGGACAGACTCATGTGAGCACTTGAGCAGATCCTCCTCCTCCGAGCTCATAAATAAAGTCAGTCTCATTGTATTGACTGATGTGAGCACCATGTTGTGTTCAGATGAGTCACAAATGATGCGGTGGGGTGAGGTTGAGGGACTGTGACGGTGGAGAAAGTATGGGACTTGCTGTTATGGGTGTGCAATGCCTTGAGTCTGTCGATATGCTTGTCATGATAATTACCTTTAATAATATTGTCAACTACACCTTCATGAGTACAAAATTGCCTTCATTGCATTCATCAATCATGAGAGCGGTGAATGTAACGTATGGATTTTTGTGAAAATATTTTCCATTTTGAATCATTTCGAGATTTGTGCAATAAAGTGTCACAATATTTTAGGGATGTAACGATATCCAGATCTCACGGTGCAATATTTTCACGATATATACATCTCACAGTATGGTATTTATTGCGATATTTTGTGGAGGCTGAAAAAATTGTGAATATGCTACTTTTTCCTCTTAAAATGCCTTGACGATATTTAATCCATAGAACTAAGATTTAAAAGTGCTTAGAACTGTTATATCTTCATGTAGTTTGCACCAAAATGGAGCAAAGGATCATGGTCTATGTAGTTCTTTTTTTTTTTTTTTTTTAGCTATTGTTGCACCATAACAGTGAATTTCAGCAAAGAAACTTGTGATTCAATGTATCGTGATGGTCCACAATATTACTAAGAGACTTTTAACAATATGATATCACAACATATTGGTTATTGTTACATCCCTATGATACATATCACCGTTTTTTTTTTTTTTTTGTTTGTTTGTTTTCTTTTTAAACCTGTACTAGCTGTATCATCAATCGAAATGTGTTTTATACATCAAATGAATAAAGATAAAGCAATTATTCTATTACCATTATCATAAATGTTATTGTGCAGTTTCAAAATCTGTGGTTTTTCTCCAGTCTAGATAGATTGTTACTTTTACCTACACTTTTTTACATTTTTCTAAGCTATTAAGAGAAGTAATGTGTCATTCACTCATTTTTTTTCATATAGGAATTGTATTGCGACATTACAGTATTTTATTTGACAAAGAAATATAATATTTTATGAAAGTTGAAAATCAGATCTCAGCCATTATAGTTCTTTTGTCCCCGAATCTGCTAAAAATATGCATTATGAGCTGAATCTTATTTTGAAAGTCTAATTGTAATTGGAATAATTGTAAAAAAAAATAATAATAATTTTTTGGGTTTTTTTTTGTTTATTTTTCAAAACTGTGCAACCGTACTTGACAATGTCTCTGATTTATCCCACCATATCACAAACTCCCTGTCTTTATTCTCAAACATAACGTGTAAATATTGTTGTCATTCAAATTCCATCAATACTATACAAACATACAGCAATCTCACTTTTTTCTCCGTCTCTCTCTCTCTCTCTTTCCAGGAGGATGACGGCCTGCGAATGAGGAAGAGCAACATGATGTCCCAGCATGCATCAGTGGGCATGAAGCGGGAGGAGGGGCTTAGCGCTCGCACCATCGCCCTCATCGTCCTGTTTTTCGTGCTCGGAGTCATCGTCGGCAAACTGGTCTTGTAGAGTGTACGCATGCTAAAAAACTACCAACTTCGACAAAAAAATAAACACAGGATCTGGGTTTCACTCTCTCTTTTTGGAATCGGAAATGCCATATCGATCCGGGTGGGGGCGGTAACGATTTTGATTTATTTCTGTTTAAAAAAAAATAACAATAAAAGATAATTCAAAAGGTTATGCGAATACGTGAAGAAATCTACTGATACAGTCTTGCCTCGAAGTAACGTAATTATAATTTTGGCCCGATTTTCCAAACTTGTATGTATAAAAACGTCTGGATGGTCATGATTTTGGATTTTCTAACACTGGCGAGGTAGTGGTGGTGCGATTGTGTGCGAATGTTGATTTCAGTGTAATGTCATTTGTTTTTCTAAATGACGGCCAGAGGCTATGTACGTGTATTATGCCCCTTACCCCCAGCCCACTGTACAGAATATCCTACGAGCTACTTCCCCCTTTAAAATGACGGGATCTAACCAGAGAGATGATCACTACTATTGGATAACACTCGCATATAGGGCTAGTTCAAACTGACTTCACCAATCAGAGGGAAAAATCTACTTTTATTAAGCCCATTCAACCTGCGAATTTGAAGTGCAAGCTAGTTAATATACTGTGTCTATATAGATTTACCTTGGCTTAAATATTTCCAGGTTTGTTGCAGTATATTATATTGTTATAAGGTGAAACTGATAAAGTTTATGATCATTTAAATTTCTCGATTTAATAAAAATATAATTAGCTTTGTGTTTTTCTCAAGTTGTTGGTCTAGGCTCTAAAGTTGAAATGAATTAAGCCATTCAAACATTAATATACATTGGAGAATAATTGTGGCTGTGAAATTTCTAAAGTTGAAAATATTATAGAGGGCTATTGATTAAATTGTTCAGCCTAGGTTCTAATTTTGTTCACTAACTACTAGCACCACATTGTCGGCCTTATACATTGTATATTTCGCGTCTTCTGCTATATTACAGATTTTGCACTGCGTTTAAACATGTGAGGTTGTGGGGTTGATTCCCATTCTAGCCTTCGATATTTCCTCGCAGTGTGACCTAAATGTGAGCATTGTACTGTCTGCCACTGTCTTTAACTAAACTATATTAACATTTATTGATTATAAAGGAACTGTAAGGTGTCTTTTCTCTAAATCTGGCTTATAAGGAATTTGGTTGCGTTGCTAGCACGTGTTTAAGGTAATTTAAAGGTGCATTTTGGGACTTTTCTGGTGCAATGGTCTGCCGTTTGTTTTGTCTTTTCTTTTCCTGGAATATTCCACAGAATGGCAACAACCCTCTTATGCAACTTATATTTATTCAATTACAAGTGTATTTAGTGCAAAAAAAAGCATTCATATTGTGAGTGGGTTGCTTCTCCACAGATTTGAGCTGTAACTTGGGGGTGTAACTTTGTCACTTGACTTCATGGGAATGGATAAGTAAATACCATACTGTGGAATATTCCAGGCCAATCTATAATATCAGGTGACGGACCCCCCACCTGAAAACTTTAAGACGCACTTTGTAAAATTTCCGGTGAAGGGTTCGCCACCCAATCGTCTCCATGGAAATGTTATTGCTTTGTCTAGAATGTTCCGCAAGGGAGAGAAGCAGGTTACAGCACTACACAACATTACAACTCAGATCTGTGGAGAGGCGCCCCTTTTCACTGAAGGAATTACTGTATTTTTGAGAAATAGGAACGCCTAATGTAATGAATAAATGCTAGATGAATTTGTATAATGTGATCGAACATTCCAGGCAAAGCAATAACATCTCCATGGAAACAAGCAGATAGCGGACCCTCCACCACAAAAGTTGCGCAGTGCACCTTTAAGCTTTTGTAGATGGCATCGCCTTTTTTGCGTACACTTTGTTATGTTAACTATGAAGGAAACACAAGTAAACAGTAATACAGTCTAGTAACTAGTTTGCACAGATTTCCAGGACTCAGTGGGCCTATGTATCAAACACTACCATAGTATTTCCTAATCTCGTGTCCTTTTTCCACTCACCTGTCACTCACGGCGCCCAAGCATTTCTGGGGCCCGTTTAACTGCATGCGTTCACAATGAAGAGTGTTGCATCTGGACTTTTTCAACCTAATTTAATGGCTTTTATAATATGGTGATAATAATAAATAAATAAATGTCATTTTTGGCTGTAGGTTTGCACAACTACACTTCTGATTTTGTTTCTCTCTGTGTTTTGTTGCGTTTTTATGATTTTAAGTAATTTTTGTTTGTTTTTTTTTTTTTTTTTGTCTGTCTGTCGTTAGGGTCTGAAGCATTTAAGGAAATAGCAGCTACATGAAATTAACTAGTTTAACTTTTTGAGTCTTGCCTTGTGACCTGTTTCAGCGAGTTATTCTCAGTCCAAAAAGGAAAAGGTGGTGTGACAAATTTGGATTTCAAACAAAAGTTAATTAAGTTGATAGATCACGATTTGTACAATGAAAAGAATGAAATACAGAGAGACCACTACAAATGTATTTTTATGCGATCAGCAAATTTCAAAGATTTAGCAATGTACACAAATTTTTGCCTGGTAAGTCTAGAATGATATCTTTGTAATTTTTTATACAGAGTTAGATCAGTCTGGTCACCCTCCATCGTGTTTTGAGGCAAAGATAAATAATAATAAAGTGACGTGAAAGAGATGCGAAGATGTGAAACAAAAGAGCTCACTGGCCACTTACCATTTTGAACAAAACAAAAACTTGGTTTGCTCGTGCTTGGATTCTACAGAAATCCATGTTTTTGAGTCCCCTGTGATATTTTTGTCCTTTCTTTTTTCCCTCGTAAGCAGCCATATTTGTTTTGATGTGGACAGCTCGTGCAAGCCCGTGATTGGCTAGTTCACCTGTCAATCACGCTTATCTCAAAATGGGGAGATTCGTTGGTGGCCAGGCTCACATCTTCATAAAGTATATTCTGGATCCCAGGCAACATAAATTATCAGGTCGCTAAGTGGTCTCTTCTTTCTTCCTGAACTAGACTAATCTTTTTACCTCCTCCCCATCACGTCATCTGTTTTTGTTAATTTCATTCTCATTCAACCATATTTTAAATGGAGGCAAATATGCTTTAAGCTATTTACTGTCTAAAGTCTTAAGCCATATTTTTACTTTTATTTTTACCCATAGATCCTCCGTTCATTCAAATTCACTTTAATCTGCTTCTCTTTAGATCTTCCAGCACCGTTTTAAACTCTTGCAAAACCACAAAACTTAGTTACTGCTTCAAGGGACCATATCAGCACATTTATGAATAAAATTTACCACCAAGAACAGATTTTTAAATATAGTAAAAGTATGATTTCCAAATTTTAAAGTCGCATTGTGTAAGTTTTCTGCTGGAGGGCCCATCAAATGCTTTTCTTCATGGAGATGTTATTGTTTTATCTGGAATGTTTCACAGCCTAAACCAGAGACTAAACCAGACCGACTGAAGTCACAGGTCAGATCTACGGAGAGGCGACCCCGCTCACAGTTAGAACGCCTGTTTTTCTAGCTATTTTTGAGCTATAAAACCACCTGTAATTGTATAAGCGTAGGGTAGAGTTGTTTAATGTTATACTATGGAACATCTCCACAGAAACAAGCAGGGCAGGTGACGGACCCTCCATCAAAAAAGTTACACAATGCAGCTTTAACGTGAATTGAATCTGTTGCGATTGGTTGAGGATGACTTGCTGTTTAGAGGGAGGGCAGAGCAGTCCTGAGTATATACTTATCAAACCTGCAAGTACTTTCGGAGTACTTTAACATATAAAAATACCACGAATATACAGTTAATTAGGATTTGCATTGAATTTTCATACCTGATACAGCCAACCCCAGCAGTCTGGTACTCACACCAAGGAACACAATTGTAAGGATTTGTAACATAAATTGCTAACAGTTATGGTTTCAAGCTGGTTGTATAATTCTCGCTGTCTCTCTGACCATCACCGTGACCAGTGTCAAAGCAGTGGAGAGAGAAACTGTTTTGTATGTATATAAATAAATAAATAAATGAGTCTATCTGAAAGAAAGAAGATGAATATTCCTAGTCAAGTAGTCTCTCTGGTGTATAAAAACAACCCAACGACCTGGTTGGACTATGTAGCATCTTAATAAATTAAATGAATAAAGCCCCTTATCAACTGTGTCTGGTCATTTTATAATTATGTGCAAATGTAAATGTGAGGTTTGTTTCTCAGTAGTCATGTTTTGATAGTAAAATTGGCCACAAGTTCAATTCTCGTGTATTTGTATGGTACGGAATGATAACTCTAAACTGAATACTGCGTGGATGGCCTTGAAGAGTGGTGAATTCTATAACGAGTCTTATCCATGTGGATGTTTTGAAAAAGATTCAGTGCCTGTTTAAAGGTATTACTCACCAGCAGGAGTAAACTGGGTCTGTGTACCATTCGTTCTTTTTCAATTAATTAATTGAATTTCAATTAAGAACGAAAAACAATAAAATGGGAAAACAGTTTGTTATTTCATTATTCCGTTTTAGTGTCAAACAAAAAAATGATTTCGACCTCTATTTCCAATATTTATATCTTTGTGCCTATTTTAATTTTGATTAGGGGTGTCAAATTATCGCGTTAATTGCGATTAATTAATTACAATCATTTAGCGCGTTATGTTTTTTAATCGCGTTAATCTAATTTTTAATCTCTAACTTTAGTGTTTATGTATGCGAGTTTTTTTTATTATAAAACCTGTTTTTATGTGTTGTTGGGACAACACACACACACGCACACACAAAACACATTTATACATTTTTTTTATTTCGGTAATTCGACTCATTGCCGGAAACCCACACAAAACGCGCGCAGTAACAGTGATGTAAACGTTATGTTAACGTTGGCGGCATCAGTCGCACAATGGACGAGGTGGAAGAGCCAGTAGAACAGAGGCAGCAGCGCACAGGTAAAAACACATTTGTGTCTTGGAAATTATTCTCCCGACGTGAAATATAAAAGAAAATAAATATAATCTCGTCTGAAAACAACCTGCAAGGCTCATGATGTCTGCACTACTGTCCTATAGTGACCTGCCACATGAGGGGACACGCACACAAACACACACAAACAAACACACACCTTCATCATCGTCATTAACCTGAGAACGCGCGGACCACGTTTCTTTGCGTACACACTGCGCGGACATCGCTGTCCTCCCGTGAGCCACGTGTGGATCGTGTTTTCTCGCGTACGCGGCGTAAACCGAGCTTCCTCCTGTGCGCCTCTAAACCAGAACTAACACCAAGACTAAAACCAGAACTAAAACCAGGTCTAAACCAGGACTAAACCAGAACTAAAACCAGAACTAAAACCAGAACTAAAACCAGGACTAAACCAGGTCTAAAACCAGGTCTAAACCAGGACTAAACCAGGACTAAACCAGGACTAACACCAGGACTAACACCAGGTCTAAACCGGAACTTAAACCAGAACTAAACCAGAACTAAAACCAGAACTAAAACCAGAACTAAAACCAGGACTAAAGTAGGTCTAAACCAGGTCTAAACCAGGACTAAAACCAGTGATCTCATATATATTTCTCTAAACCGCGCTTCCTCCTGTGCGCCTCTAAACCAGAACTAACACCAAGACTAAAACCAGAACTAAAACCAGGTCTAAACCGGAACTTAAACCAGAACTAAAACCAGAACTAAAACCAGAACTAAAACCAGAACTAAAACCAGGACTAAAGTAGGTCTAAACCAGGTCTAAACCAGGACTAAAACCAGTGATCTCATATATATTTCTCTATCAATAATATTTTTAATATGGTTAAGGAAAGACTGGACTTTTTATTGTCTTTAAGTAGACAAAAGTTATTATGTTCAGATTTCCTCGTCTTTGCTACTTTACAGCAAACAGTTTCTTATTCATGGAGACTTGGGCTCAGCAGCCAAATTGGAGAGATTTGTTAAACAATAAATGACTTTATAAAGTCACTTTTTTTGTTCTATATCAGTCTTTTGATCTGCCACAATAATGTAATAATGAATTTAAATGAAAATACCTCAAATTGAAGGCTTTTCTCAGCAATTTTTAGGAGAGATTAAAATGAGATTAATTAGATTAATTAATTGCAGATCATAATTAATTAATCTCTCAATTTTTTTAATCGCATGACAGCACTAATTTTGATATTTTATTCTCTCTGGTTTATTTGCCCTGGAAGTTCTGCTGCTAGAAGGACTTACTTGAAAAAATCGTTGCAATTTTGTGGACAAACATATCCTCTTCTTTTATAGAGACATGTTTTCTTTTGCGTCTCAAAAAGTAATTGTTGAACTCCATGATGAGAAACAAGTAGCAGCGATAAACTTTGTTCAGATGACACAGAAGAACTATAATAAAAATTGTTTTTATTATAGATCCATGGTTGAGCAGCAGAACTTCTGGGGCAAATAAACCAGAGAGAATAAAATATCGAAATTAAAATAGTCACTGAGATTTTAAACTTTAAATTAAATAATGGAAATTGCAGTCGAAATCAGTTTTTTGTTTGACACTAAAATGGAATAATGAAATAAACTGTTTTCCCATTTTACTATATTTCATTCTTAATTGAAATTCAAAAGAATGAATGGTACACAGAGCAAACTGCAAGAGATAAGTGCTAGAAGAAGAAAGTTTTGTTTTTATAATGTCAAAAAAATCATCGTGAAGTTATTTTACGGTGATCTATCAGACCATCTGTACGACAGTAGACACCTATGGTTTTGAAATTGCTATATTCACTGAAAACAACATACTGATGTCCCCCCTCTTTTTACTCCCTCTGCTAAGTCTCTCCCCCTTCAGAGTGCTATCACAACACAATCAGCATGCATCTCAGTAATGAAACTACACAACACATCAGGTTTGTGAGCTGAGTATTGAACAGACTCTCTTAGCAAATGTAAGGAGGGTTGAAATCGTGCCTGAGAGAGATCACTAGATTAGAATATTATAACATGGTAGAAAGCTCCGAAAAATCTATCATAATATAAGAGGTGCGTATGTATTGTGTACAGTCTCAAACACAGATACAGAGGTAGCAGACTCTATTAAAATTCAGGCAGGATCAGTTCTTCCAAGTGCTGTGGTGAATTTATTGTGCTAGTATGATATTTGTTAGCACTTCATTGTTCCAGTATAAGACTTTAATACCGTAAAGTGGTTGCTTCAAGGTTATTGTATTTCTTCATAGCTCTGCCTGGCCCTCCTCTGTTTCACTTGGCTCACACACCAAACAGCTGCACCCGGATAAACCAACAAAACGAGCAAGCGTAAATTCAGCCTAGAAGACCTAACTTCGCTCCTGTCTACCTCACCTCTTCTCCTGAGTTTACCTGCTCCTCAGCCTTCAGCACCTGACTCCAAATACTCCTCCCCGCTGCTCGCCGTGCCTTCTCATCATCTAATCAGTGCCCATTCTGCCCAGTTTATACTCCCATTGCAGATGCACGGCCGATTCAGTTTGTGCCACGCCCCACCTCCGCTCCAGCACCACCTCGACTTTTCATCCTCTCATCATCCCTTTCACTCTCCCTGGCCTCACCTCTACCAACTCCTGTGTAACTCATTGAATAAAACTTGTTAAGACTTTCTCTTTGTTTGCATCTGTCCCTCCAGTTTGAAATGTTGCTCTCCTATATGCATCCAGGTGTATTCCCAATCTCCCCCCGAACACAGCCAGGAATGTTGTTGGAGTTAGTGAAAATTAACCTCTGGTCCTGCGGTGATGTGGGCCCTTGGAGAAGGTCAATAAGCCAAACGGGTAGGCCGTCTCATACTATTTGCTGACTAGAATGCTTGGCTCAGGTTTCCAATAAATATACATAAGTTCAGGTTGTGTAACTTCAGGTTCATGGGCCAAATGTGGACCCCCAGCCACTATTTTCTGTCCTCTGAGATGATTTTGAAAAATATTATTTGGATACAATGTTCAGAGTTATTTATGAAGGCTCATAAGGGAGGCTCACCACATGTACTGTTATTGTTGCCATGTATTATATATTTTATATACTTTTTTGTAGACTAGCATAATCTTGCCATCTTAATTCCTATTAATCCAGTTAAAGCCATTTTTAGGATCGTGCACATGCCTGTGTCTGTGCAATATTGTAACAGTAACAATGGTATTTATCTGGCTTATAAAAGTATGTAGGGAGGGACTTAAAGCTGTGGAGAAATTGGTGTGGTGATACTGCCAGGTCAATTGGTCTATTTTGTGACACCTGCCCTGTGCTGACCACACACTAATGAGAAAGTGTGTAGTTTGATTGCTGTTGATTATGTCCATCATTGGGGCAAGATACGTCACCATAGAGTGAAAGCTCTGATTGGGAGAATATGGTCTTCAGAAGTCCTAACCCTTGTTAGTGTGAAGTGGCACTATGTGAGAGGAAGATTCAGTGCTGCTGTCATTGTCTAGAATGTTCCACAGTTTGGCATTATGAACTTATATATTTTTTGGAGTTTTAACCATGTTAGAATTGAATATTCTTTTCTTATTCATAACATGCCTGGAGTGGTATTTCATTGATTGATTTCAGTAGTCCTCTGTAAAAAGTCCTTTGCCTCTGAGCAAACATGCTATTTGAATTTTTCCAGGATTGTTGTGTCATATGTAGAGCAGTTTCCATTAATCATTAGCAGATATGTTTTAAGCATTTTTGTCTTTAATTAGCACTGCATGCCTATATATTCATGTCTGTGCATGTTCCTCATTCACTAGTTTAATTGTTGTCCCCATGGCAATTCTCTCTGTTGTCAGTAGATGGCGAGTTGCACTAGATCACAGTATGTGGAGCAGTTTAGCTGTCATAATGTATACTTCTTTAACTAGCCATTATTTTAAGTTCTCTTTAACGTACACTATACAAAAGATGTTGCCAGTAGAAAAAATCAAATTTTTCCCAACCACCCTGAACTTACTTTACCCTCTGACCTCATGTTTTTGTATTTTTACCACACATTTTTCTCATCATCTCCTGAGACACCAGACTCACGTCTGGTCTATGTTTTTATAATAATCATAAATGTTTAATCTGATCCATTCTATACAATTACTACTTTGATGTTTCTACTTTTTGCCTTATTTAACTCCTTTTGGTGTTAACTTTGATATAATTACATTTGGCAA